ACTGTAGAAAATGGAACTGATGGTGCTTCTTGCTGGTCTAATCATGGTGGAATGAGACTACAGATAACTCAGTTAGTTCTTGGTGGTCATGGAAGGTCTTGGTTGCACCCACGTGTGGAGTGACCCCTGTTGGTTCACCCTGTACCTCCCTCCCTTGGGAACACAGAGCACTCTGACCCCAGCCAAATGTCCCAGTATTACGACTCCACTTGAAGATATTCATCTAACATCTCCTCCTCTCCTAACAGAGGAGAGTAGTGTTTACACTCTAGTGCATGAGTTGCAGGTTTTCTTTCTAGAAGGTTATACTTTTACACTTCTACCAAATGTGCAACAGGGCCTGGTAGGTTCTCTGTAAGTGTTCCTAGGAAGAAGATGCTGGAATGGTACTGTCCATAAAGAGTGACCTGCATCAAATGCTGTCAAAGCAGCAGTAGCTGTACTCAGCTGATATCTAAGCATCAATTTTCTTTTCTACACATTCCACTGCAGGCATGTGACATTGAGATTTTATGTGATGTTTAGGAATATATATTGAGGGCTGGAGAGATGGCTCAGAAGTTAAGAGTACTTGGTTGCACTTACAGAGGACCCAGGTTTCATTCCCACATGGTGGCTAACAACTTCAGTTCCAGGGGGATCTGATGCCCTCTTCTGTCCTCTTCGGGCATTGCATGACACAGGTGTACCTACCTACGTCTACCTACATGCAAGCACATAAAATAAAAAATAATAAATAAAATATTTTTTTAAAAAGAATATACAGGGGCTGGAGAGATGGCTTGGCGGTTAAGAACACTGATTGTTCTTGCAGAAGACCCGGGTTTGAATCCCAGCACCTACGTGGCAGCTAACAGTTGTCTATAACTCCAGTCCCAGGGGATCCGACAGCCTCTTCTGACCTCCGTGGGCATTGCACGACACCAGTGCACTTACCTACATGCAGGCAATACATGCATACACGTAAAATAAAAATAATAAATAAAATTTAAAAAAAAAGAATATACAATACTTTGTCTTTAGAAATTGCATGGATTTTCTGTCAAGTTACATGGCATATCCTATTTCTTTTGTTAAAGTCCTTGCTGTTGTTCTAGGAGCATGTCTCTCCTTAAAGCAAATTATGTGTTGGTTCTTAGGCTTGTTGAGGTCTGGAAACTAACGTCATTGCTTTTTCATAATTCTGAATCATGTATGTCAGTAACTACTGAGATTCAGACATGATTTAAATTTGACCTGGAGACTACTTTTGTATGCAAAGAGCCCCAAGAGATGCGTAAGTGGTCTTTGCCCTTCAGTGGAACAGCATTTGGAAAACTGCCAAATAATCTCCACAGAAGTGATGCCAAATGATCCCTAGTGATCCAAGTAAATACCTAATTTATTTCTGATATTCTGGGACCACCTGTAACTTCAGTTATCTGTCTCGTGATGGGAGTACTCAGAGTATGTGGGAGTTAAGAACCAGACAAATTTTATATTACACTGGTGTGTGTTTCTTCTTACTAGTCATGAGACCTTAAGTGTGAAATTTTACCTGTCTTAAGTTTCAACTCTCTTATAGGCAAAATATTTATCTCAAGATCAATGTGAAAATTAAATGAAACTGTACATACCTATATATGTATGTACTTATAAGTACCCAGCAAAGTGCTTGACATGCATATTTAAATGTTGGACATATGATAACTGTTGTTTTAATAATGCTATCTGGTGATAATAACAAAGAAAGCTGTTAGAATATTTGCACTGATTAGCATAAATCTGGCAATTCCACTGAAAATATAATATAAAAATGCATGCCCTTTTGACAAAAGCTAGTGCCATGGTTCATTATAAAAGGCAGTATATTAAGCCGGGCATGGTAGCACACACCTTTAATCCCAGCACTCAGGAGGCAGAGGTAGGTGGATCTCTGTTGAGTTCAAGGCCAGCCTGGTCTACATATCAAGTTCCAGGCCAGCTGGGGCTATAGGGAGACCCTGTCTCAAAAAGACCAAAGGGCGGGGGGATTTGTTAAAGAAAGCCTTGACAGGGAGTACTTAAGAAAACTGATTTGATTCAAGCTTATAGGAAAATAAACAAATGGGTAGTGAGACAGCTGCATGGGCTCCACCTCACCATGCTAGATGTTGGGTAATATATAGACGTTTTGAGTGTTCATTAGTATCCTTTGGTTCTCTTCATGGGTTGTTTTCCACAAAGCCATAAATTTTTTTTAGTAAATCTTCAGATTTTCTGTATCTTTCTCCAGCAACACAGAGATTATGTTGGTTAGGCCTGGCTGGGTGGGTTTAAGTAATAGCTAATGTTGAGTCAGATCCCAGCCTGCCTGATGATTAAGTGAACAGCAACTTCCCACAAAGCAATCCTACTTTTACATGGATTACTCTGCTACAATGGAAATCTTGACAGTTGAGTCCACATACGTGGAAAAAAGTTCAATAACAAAGTGAAGTATATCCTTAAATTCTCCTACCTTCCCAAGGCTATTTCTCTTGAAATAATACTATCAGGGTGCCAGCTGAGGATTCAGTAAGCTACCTTAATAACAAAGTGCTAAAACCTTCCTTGTAGGAGATCCTTCATGCTCCTTCTGGGCAGGCAAAAAGAGAAAAAAACTTGCTTTCTGATACTCTTGTCCCTATGGTCACTGTCATCATATATGATTGAGATTTTAAGTTTGGAATTTAAATGATGATGGAGTATTAAAAGGAGTTACAAAATGTTGGGGAACATAGAAATCCAGCCAAAGTCACTGAGGTCAGAACTTCAGAGTAATCCTTCTGGATTTTACAGAAGCTGTATCAAAAGTTTATACAATCTGGAAAATGCTGCTATCACCTTTTATTTTACTTAAGACTCTTCCACCAGCTGGCCCCAGGTATTTATTTTCCTCTGCATTTGGTGAAAGGGCAACAAGTATTTGTGTGTGATCCTGCATCTGACTTGTATTAGAGTGATATTCTTCATCCAAGATTATTCACTGAATTTCTCCTGAGGCATCTCAAGAGAGTGTGAATTCCTGAGAGAAGTGTTGCACTTTGTAGTAGATGGTTTCTCAGTGTCATTTTTGAAATGGAAAACAAGTAGTTTAACTTGCAATAAATACTTCAGTAACTCTGTGGTTATGGTGAGTCCCAGGATTTGGATAGCATTCCCTTTATGTATATTACAAAGCATCATACTGTCATACTGCTTGCCTTTGTCTTGAATAGACATCCCCACCTCCCCAAGCCTCTGAGAGGCTCTTCAGTGTCTCTTTCCCCAACAAGTTACTCTGGTGTTCACTATGGTGGTGTGCACGTAGACAAGCTTGAGGAGTCAGCATGTAGTATTTTCCTGTTAAGGTCTTTGGGTTGGGAATTTGTTTCTGTTTTGGTGCTTTCTGTTTTGATGTTCCTTATTTTATTTATCTTTGGTAGATTAAATGTGGACAGCATTAGGGTAATTATGAGCAGAAAAACTTGAGTGATTCACAAGCCCTCTATTTGGAGTCAAGATGCAATAAGTGTTGATTGAACAAGGAGGCTCAGTGACTAGAAAAAAGATGAACTCCTCCATGTGTGTGGAAAACACTGTGATGGAGGTTAGAAAGCAGACTTCCTAGCAGAGAAAAGAGAAGGAAGGTGATCATGGAAATCCAGTGATTCTGGTGAATGTGAGAAGACTGGATGTGCTAGAAAGATATCCAAAAAAAAAGGAGTGAGGTGTTCAAAGGGATTGCCTGGCAGTTGATTCGGTTTGTGGTAGGAGACCTCTTTCCTGAAAGAGAGTAGCTCCCAGGCTAGAGGTGTTTATTGCCAGATCAGCATCACATACCAGCTTCTTGGCCCTAAGCTCTGGAAGCTGCCAGAAACTGCTTAGAGTGGCACAAAGTCTTCAGCCAGGAGTGTGAATGGAGGGCCTGATCCCTATCCCACATGCTTCTCGTCTGAAAGCAATGTGGCTACAAAGGTGAATGACCACTTGCTCATATCAATGGCTTTTATTTGTTGGCATATGTGTAACAGGAACATTTATAGGACATATGCACTCTACGTGACTTCTTCCAACCTGCCTGTGTAGCAGGATTTGTGTTTTTGACTCAAAAGCACTTTTGCTCTGTCAACCCTACATGATTCATACTAAGAGCTACAAACTAGCTTGAATTCCATCCTATGTTGAGCCATTACCTGCTTTCAGAGTGGAGGGTTGGCAGCAAGGTACAGGCAACACTAAGGCTTATTTCCCTTTCTTTTCTTCCCCTGTCACCTCCCCGACCCCTATTTTCCTGAGTCAAAACTGAGCCAGTAATACTGCTGGCAGACAAGTCTTGTTTTGCCTTGTAAACTGAGCAGGTTAAATCAGAAAAGCACTGGAAGAGGTAAGAGAAGAACTCTGAGAGGCTACTGCTTTCTGCCACCATTTGTCACTTGAGGAATTATCGTTTAGCTTACAGGGGTTTTTTGTTTGTTGCTTTGGTTTTTGAACATCTTGCCATTAAACCCAGGCTGGCCTCAAAATCAAGGCAATCTTCCTTGCTTCAGCCTCCCCAGTGCTAGGATTGCGGGTGTGTGCCACTGGTACCCCTATTGAGATCTGTCTCAAGGGATGGCAAACTTTGACCTTCTGGGCCAACTCTGGTCCACTGTATTATTTGGTTTTATATAGCCTGCAAGCTAAGAATACTTTTTATTTTTGTATATGATTGGAAAAAAATCAAAAGAATAATATTTTGTGACACATGAAAAAATGGAATTCAAATTTCAGTGTCCAGAAATAAAGTTATGTTGGAGCATAGCAGAAGTGTTTGTCTGCTTTGCAGAGTGGAGTAGTGACAGTCACTCTATGGCCTGAAAAGCACCAAAATTTACTTTCTGGTCTTCAGAGGAAACTAGGCCCTTCCTGAACTTTTCCTACTTTTTGAAGTTTTGCTGGTTACCTCTTCTTATTGGTTTGGAAGAGATGCAGAAATGCAACACTGTATAACTGTGTATCATTCCTTTTCAATTCACCAGAGATTCTAGAATTGTGCAGTACACTCCTAAGGAGGCATCCCAGAGAGAATGCAGGTGAGACATTGGGGGAGGGGGCACGGGAAGTACCTCATGAATTTCAAGTCAAACAAACACTTTCCAAATATCTACAAAGTAGGGCATCTTGATTAGTTTTAGAAAGAAAAAGGCATGTTGATTACAAACAGAACAAGTTTTCTTTTTGCTTTTTTTATGTGTATGAGTGTTTTGCCTGCATATATGTAAGTGCGCCATGTATGTGTAATACCCGAGGAGGCCAGAAGAGGGCATTGGATCCTCTAGAACTGGAATTACAAGCAGTTATTACCACCATGTGGGTGCTGGGACTCGAACCCGGGTCCTCTGCAAGAGCAGCCGGTGCTCTTAACTGCTGTGCCATCGTTCCAGCCCTATGGTGTTTTCTTAACCAAGAGTCAAAACATCATGTTCCCAGGGTGTGGTGGCACAGGCCTTTCATCCAGCATTTGGGAGGCAGAGGCAGGTGGATCTTTGTGAGTTCAAGACCAGCCTGGTCTACATAGCGAGTCCCAGGCCAACTGGGGCTACAGGGAGACCCTGTCTTAAAAAAGACCAAAAAAAAAAAAAAAATTATGTTCCCTGTTGTTTGACTTCTAAGCATTTTGGTTAGTAGGAGTTGATTTACACATTTATACTTGAGGAAACTGGGGCCGAGACAACCATACTAGCTTAAATCAGTAATCACATGCAGCAGAGATAGATGCACACGTTTTCCAGGGCCTGCTCTTTAATCCTGAGAACTTTCCTGTTTCTTAAGATGGACTTCCAGTCATCTTATATGAAGGATTTCAATTTCCTGGCTTGGAAGCATCTGAAGAGAGGAAAGTACCTTGTTTTTTTTCATTCCTACCTCTATGAAAGAAGTAACAGAAGTAGAGGAGGGGAAAGGCTTGAGGCAGGCAAAAGGGAAATCTCTGAAACTAGAGAAAACTCAAACTGTGGCCAGCAGAATCAGCATTCCTCATCCACAGTTGGTCCTAATTAAGGAGACTCCCGTTGAACAGCTCAGCTTTCTGCTCCATATTCTTTGCTCTGGCCCTGCCAGCTGACATGGCAAAGCCTTAACCCTCATGTTGGAAACAGTCTCTCATGTCTTCCCCTTATAGTCTCCCTTCTCTGTCTGTCCCTTGCTACCCCACAATTACCCTTTCCCACATTAAGATCCCAATAAAATATATTGATACCTCTAATCCAATTACATCTACTTTGTTCCACAAAGTGCTATCCAAGCTGTTTGCTGGGCTGAATAAGTGTATAGTGTCATTAGGGGAGCACACACAGCCTGATTTCATCACAGAGAGATGGAATTTCTCTGGGATTATTTGCTGCCAATTTGAAGCAGCAACAGTAATTCCTTCCACTTCACTTGACCCCTTGACTTTTTCAATCCGTAGCTTCTACTTATGCCTAACTGTTGGGATTTCTTTGAGGTGTTTTGTTTTTGTTTTCCAGCTATAGTGACCTGTGCATCATGTTTAAAAATCAAAACGTTGGGCCTGAAAGATGGCTCATCAAGAGAGGAAGGCACTTGCCACCAAGCTGACACCTGAGTTCAATCCCTAGGACCCACATGGTGGAAAGAGAAAACTAGAGATCCAACTCTTAAAAGTTGTCCTCTGACCTCCATATGTGCACTGTGGTTCTCTCTCTCTCTCTCTCTCTCTCTCTCTCTCTCTCAATGTAAAAAAAAATATTTTTAAAAACCCCAAACCTAAGCCGGCCATGGTGGTACATGCCTTTAATCCCAGCACTTGAGAGTCAGAGGCAGGCAGATCTTTGTGAGTTCAAGGCCAGCCTGGTCTACATAGTGAGTTCCAGGACAGAGAGACCCTGTCTCAAAAAGACAAAAAAAAACCAAAAATCCAAACCTTAGTAGTAGCTAAGCATGGTGGCTTAGCACTTGGGAGACTAAGGCAGGAGGATTACTGTCAGTTTCAGGTCAGTCTACACTATATAATGAATTCCAGGCCAATCTGCGGCAACAGCGATCAAGGTGCTACCATGGTTGGTTTCTGGCGAGGCCTTTCTTCCTGGCTTATCCACAGTGCCTTCTCACTGTTCCCTTACCTGGCCTCTGGTCCTATGTGCAATGAGAGGGAACCCTCTGGTCTCTGGTCCTATGTGCAATGAGAGAGAACCCTCTGGTCTCTTCCCCTTCTCATTAGGGTATCAATTCTATGGGATTAGAGCCTCATCATTATGACCTCTTTTAACCTTAAGTACCTCCCTGAAGATCCTGTCTCTAGACACATAACAGTCAGTATATGAATTTGGGGGACTATCATTCAGTTCCAACAGTATTTGGGCTGTGGGTTCAATCCTCAGCACCAAAGCAAAACAGTCTAAATGTAAGGTTTTTCCTTGGGGAAATTAAATAGCAGTGAGCAAAGCAGGGTGTTATGGGGCAAGGTGAGCATTTGAAAGCTATTTTTCTGGGTCATAGAATCTTTAGAATCTTGAAAGTATGACCAGATATCATAAAGTTGAACTTAGGCACAGAATTTTGTATATAACTGTGAGGGCCTCTATCTGATTCCCCAGCCCACTGAGTGCCCCCATGCTAATAGACTAACTGTAAAATATGCTTTTGTCACTGGTATGATGGCATCTTCTATCAGACAAGTGTATAGTATGACACAGAAAAGCACAAAAACTGTGGCTTTACTTTACCCAAGGACTGGATATGATTCTAATGCCATCACTTAAAAAAAAAAAACAAAAAAAAAAAAAAAAAAAAAAAAAAAAAAAAAAAACAAACCTTTTTAGGAAGGACAGCAAGCCAAAGTGGGCATGCTAAAGAATATTAGAACTTAAGCAAGGCAGGGTTGAAGTGAATGCAAGTTGGGACCAAGCACACAGATGGTTTCTCACTTTTTATTGCATCAGGCATCATCAGAGGCCATGTAGGAGTGCCTCTGTGTACAGTGGCGTGACTTTTTTATTCTTGGTGGTGTACTAGCTCTGTGTTTATTTACACTAACTCCCTTTCTAAATGCCACAGGGAACTTTGGGGATCACTTTAGAAATTATAGCTGAGTGACTTAAAAGAAAGGCAACAATGGAAATCTGTGGTTTCAGAACTGAGCAGAATGGCTAAGGCACAGTAGGACACAGGGGCGTATTTGTCTTGAGTTTCCTTTCAGCTGAGTTTGATCGAAAAGAAATATTTTCAGAATCTGTGGAATTAACCTTTTAGTTTTACCTGTTGAATCTAGATAAAAATTGGTTTCTAGATGTGGCAACAGGTACCCTAAAGTGCTGACTTCAAGGACTGTGCTATTTTCTTTGATTTTATATTTAGTGTCACATAACCAGTGGGTAGGATTTCTGACTTCAGGGACCCCTAGTCCATTGTCCATTCACGAATTAGACTTAGCATTTGAGAGTTGAGAAAATAATCAGACTGTGCTGTGATCCAGATTGGAGTTTAGGAAATGTGGTTTCAAGGTGAAATGTCCTCCACAGGCTCACGTGTTTGAACACTTGGTCCCCAGCCAGTGGCACTGTTTGGGAAGGCTGTAGACCTTCAGGAGGTCAAGCCTCACTGGAGGAAGTGGGTCACTGGAGGCAGTGAAGCTTTATAGCCTGGCACCACTTTCTGTTCTCTCTCTGCTTCCTGAGTGCAGACACTGTATGACCAGCCAGCTCTAGCTCCTGCTGCCAAGCCTTCCCCACCGTGATGGACTGTATTCCCTAGGAACTGTAAGCCATAGTAAACCCTTTCTCTCTTATGTCACTTTAGTCAGGGTGTTTTATCATAGTAATGAGTAAGTAACTAAAACAAGAAGTTTCTTTATCTAGTTACTAAAATGATTTGTCTTCTTGAAAGATTGGGGTAATATGAATTTACTGCCAAAGTATCAAGAAAGCCTAGTAAATTCTCCTAATGTACACATCCTCTCAAGCTCATATAAAACTCTGGTTACTGTGTTCTTTAGCATCTCAGTGGTCTTTAGCCCTGCCTAAAACTTGACATAACTCCTAACTCAAAAAACACTTCATAGTGATTGGCACCACAGTCCTCCTCTGGATCTCACACTGTGACGTCCATCTTTTCCTCTTCTTGCTCTCTGGCTTTGTTGACCAGATCAGGATGGCTTGCTGTGATCTCTGCCAAACCACAGACATGTAACAAAGCAGACACTCTACTCCCCTTGTTCTTGGAATCCTCCAAGTGACTCGGGTGAGGAGCAAGATTACTGACTTTAAAAACTTTGGCAGTTTCTCTAGATGGTTTTGATGCATTTTCAAAGCTGGGTACCACAAAGTTGCCCAATTTCATTCTAGTCCTTCCATATTCTCCCCCCACCCCCATATATACATCTCAGACAGGATCTCACTGAGTAGCTCAGGTTGGCCCCTGATATTGCACTCCTGCCTCAGCCTCCTATAACAGGCATGTGCTGCCACTCCCAGGCCCATTCTCTTCTTTAACAGTCTCTCACTCTTGCCAGGCCTGGTGGCACACACCTTTAATCCCAGCACTCGGGAGGCAGAGGCAGGTAGATCTCTGTGAATTCAAAGCCAGCCTGGTCTACATAGTGAGTTCCAATCCAGCTGGGGCTACAGGGAGAACCTGTCTCAAAAAGACAAAAAATAAAAATAAATAAAAAAGAGTTTATAATATACTACCAGAGCAAATTAGGTGCTAAGATATGGACCAAAGATGAAAATAAATATTAGATATTGAACTTTTTTTTTTAACCTACAAGACTGTCAGTTTTATATGATTTGGTCCATCCATCTATGGCCAAGTATCTTTTCATTCTTCTAACTTGTTGAGACAGGGTCTCACTTTGCAGCCCAGGCTAACCTAGAACTCACTATATAGCATAGGGTAGCCTAGAACTCATTTTAGTCTTCCTGCCTTTGCTTCCCAAGAGCTAGGATTATGTATTAGTTATTTGTCTCATTGCCGTGGCAAAATACCTACAAAAGCCACATAAATAAGTAACCGTTTACTCAGTTTGAAGGTACAGTCCATCATGATGGGGAAGTCAGTGTGACAAGACTTTAAG